GTGATTACTCACAGCTGAAATATAAGGTCTGCAACAATGAATAAACAACAGGAGCTCCCACAGCTTGAAAACGGAGAGTAAAATTTCATCCAGCTTTGTCATCATAAAACAACTTACACAATTGCAAATGAACTGAATTTCATCCAAACAACCAAAAAAAAAAAAGTACTGTATTAATATTAAAATACATCGCACAAAAAAAGGACAGTTTAAAATTGGGCACGCCGTAGCCTGTCGTTAAATTTAAATGGAGCATTAAGTGGCCGGCTAAACAAACTACAAAAAAAAAAATATACAACATACAAAGTTGGATATTGAGCCAGACTTTCAATATTAATAAATATGCAACATCAGGATGCACTTTTACTCTAAACAGAGGTGTACATTACACTAACATTTGTAGAATAACATAATTGTGGCTTTCTGTAAAGCGGTTTTTAGAGAATACAATTTATTCAGGAAAAAAAAAGTTATTTTTGCTATGAAAAGGGAAAGACGGTGATAGATTTAAGAAAACATTTGTCCCCCCCAACTTAACATGTACCAAACTCTGCGTGCCACAGCCCAACTGGCCTGTGATTCGAGCGCATTGTTTTGAATGGAACCTACATATAGTTGAATGGAACCTACTGATCTATATTAAAATGTGCTGGTACAACAATACGCACACTGTCACTCTGAGCCAAAAGGAATTTTTTGTTAAAAAAAGCTGATGCAAATCGAAGTTGGCAGCCAGGAAAGGACACTGCAGCAGAGGAATATTAACATGTTAGACTCAGGGTTACTGGAGGATATCAATGGCAAATGACTACCCTAAAACAATACACTTGGCCAGCGAAGGACAGGAGTGCAGTAACCTGGAGTTCTGCTTTCAAGTTCTTCCTCTAAGTATCACGCAGCTTGTGACCTCTACAACCTAGATTACTGTACACTATTGCTCCAGCACCCTCTACACTAATTCAGTCAACAGGATCAATGTACCAATTACAGTGCAGGCTGAACCAAAATTTGTCTTTGGTGAACAGAACAAGTAAAGCCACAAAGTGAGTAGCCGTACTCTACACAAACCGTAAAAGTATTTTTCATCTTCATGGGCCACTGTCACCTTTTCCCCCAAGTCTGAAAAGCATTCACTTCACCCATATACTACTTAAATTAAAACAGTGATGCTGAAAACGGATCCTGGACAGCTACAGACCTCACTGTTTCAAAGGGTTGTTCTTTAAAAAAATCTGTAAGCTGTGCTCAACGTCCTATAGGTAGCAAACGCCTTGTTTGGTTAAGTAAATCATGAGCTCAAGTGGAACAAAAACCCACAGGACTCGCCATAATCCTAACTAACACAACTGTAGTGTTGGGTACCTGAATTTACGATTCTGGTTTGACTTGAAAGATTTCTCGGTAATGGAAGTGCAAGTTAAAATATGACATAACGCCACTGATAATTAATTGGGTGAGTACTCCATGCTGTCCTGCAGTGTACAGTAAAAGAAGTCAATATCGTAACCGAAACTGTCCACATCGAGCATTTTAACTGGATTGGGGACTTGCAAATGTCATTCGTCTGAATTTCGATAGTGCTGCTTCAGTCCTCTATGCGCGATTATTTCACAAAAACAACCCTAATTTAAAAAAAACATTGTTTTTTCCAAAAGTTCAACCGTGGCAGCTTATAACAGGAGGAGAGAACTGACCTGCACTAAACTAGACAGGCTTAATTTCAGGATCACTCCTGTAATGTCTAATAATTACATTTGTTTTTTAACTGCCCTATACTAAAACCTTCATAAAAATACACTTTTTAGATAGCCGCAATGATATTGTGTAAAAGATGCTCGAAATACGTCTGTACATTTCATTTCATGATTAACGGCGTTCTAGCAAAAATAACTTCTTCTCGTTTTTTTTCTCATGTATGAACAGAGTTGGATCATTTCCCCAGGTTGTAAAAAGCATCCCATTAAAACGGAACTCTGCAGGACGTTAACCAGAGAGGTGTGTAGCTATTCAATAACAAAGCAGGACATTCACAAGAAATACATGCCTTTGCTTATGTAATAGAGACAACAGTGGCAGATTGTTCACATAAATATTATGGATACCATATCAAGTACTAGCACTGCTTCCACAGCAAAGGTTAAACAAAGTTTTTCATATTTCCAACATCCACAAATAAGGGTACTGCAAACCTGCTTTAAAATCTGAACGGAGACATGGGTGACGCACTATGCATAATCCAATTTATATATCGTATAGAGCTGTTTTGGTAGAGCTGGTGATTGCTCTACCTGTTGAAGGTCGGCACACTGTATTTAATCCAGCTGCAGTCTGAAGCACACATGGTGTTTGAAGTCTCCTTTAATTAAACATATATGAGTGAACACAGTAAGCAAGAGCAAAACACTTTCATTGAAGTAGTGGAGGTGCTAACCGCACAACAACAGACACATACAAGAAAATCTTTTCGACAATCGCTTTTCCAAGTTATCGGATGCAGAAGGAACGAAAATGATCTCATGGGCCTTACTTTGCATTTGCATTGAATGGGCTATATTTTATCAAACGAGATAGCGGAAACGAACCTGTATGAACTAATCGCAGGTGTTTAATAAGGGGAGACATACAGACTAAGAACTTTCGGAACAGCTAATGGTGTGTTAATCGAAGCTACTTCAAGTCTCTCCTGATTTTTGTCACTGCTCATTTGCTACCGATTCAATTGCAGCTTCGCGCACAAGGTCTGTCTGAAGCTGGAAGTATGCAGAATTCCTTCAGAAATGATGACCAGTCGAGGTGCTTCTCACAATCGGATAAGGGGGGCATGGTTATAAATCCCATTACAGACTGAAACTGCACAAATCCAACCCGAAGCTCCGCTATAAGCCGTATTTAAGAATAACATGCTCAGAGGCAAGCCAATTACGTGAAGTTTTCGCAAGCACCGCTGAACTTGTAGCAATCAAAAGCTGTGCCTTATAAGAAAAAAACATTCCACCTCCCTTGAACAAGCTAACAGATGCTTGGTAGAACTTCACTTTCTCCCAGGTTACTGCACTGCCTGCAGATGGGCGAGCTGGAGGAGGCAGACAGAGAGATAATGCACTGTCCATCTTCCCTCCCCTCATGTCATAGCTACTGGGAGCCCTGGTGAATATCATCTAGGTTTCATGGTATCGGCCATTTCCTAACAAGAACACACCCAAAAAAAAAAAAATTAAAAAAGAAGCAAAAGATAGAAAGTCTAATTGTTCCAAAGTCCTCCAGTCTGTTCCTGATAAACTTCGATGACGTCCTCGTCTTCCATTCCCAGCTGAAAGAGAGGTACAGAGCTGTCAGATGTATGCCTGTCTCACGTTTTATCACTGCTGTGAGCCGTTCCAACACGTGTAGGGCCAGCCCAGGAAACTAAGCAGATCTGGTTTCTCTTGCACGCCTCACACAAACCAAAATTAACAACAAACGAGGGGACACCAAACATATTGAAAGTCCTGGATTTCCACCCAGTTGTGGCCCCTGCATTTATTAAGCAAATAACATCCCAGCATGCTTAGGGTCATGTATAAAAAGACACCCGAAGAAGGCTCCACAACCGAAACGTTGTCTCTTTTCTTTTCCTTTCAGCACAGAACAAACATTTACCTGTTCCTTTACAGCCTACGCATGCCGATGCAGCTACGTATTTGAACGTCTTCGTGTATAAAAGTGCTGGACAGGCCTGGTTGCCCATAACTATGGCTAGAATGACAGCAAGAGGAGACCTCATTGGGGTCAGAGACTCTGAAAGAGGGGCGAGAGTCGAGAGCAGGGGGGCCGGAGCTTCAGCGACTAAGACCGAGATGTTTCACGAGAAGCAGCGTCTGAGTTGATGCCTGCATGGCAAGCCGAGTGAAAAGGCATCAACAAAGACCAACAGTGGGTTGGGAGGACATACAGAAGGGCCGTGGTATCCAAGTATTAATTCAAAGTGCAAGACAGAAGACAAAAGCAACTGCATGCCACCGACAACCTGGGTTGTGAGCAGCCAGTGTAAATCCACAGAACTGGAGACCAGAGTCGCGTTGCAGTGCGCAAACCACGAATCACTCCCGAGGGTGCACCTTGGCGAGTCCAGTGGCTCACGGAGTATATTCAACGCAGTACTGAGCAGCGGTGACCTGCGATAGTGGTCAGACGACTCGCTCATCGCCACGTGCTGCACAAATGTTTGACGGTACGCACGATGCCAACCTGAAGAACCGCCACAGCCCTGGGCGCTGGGTTCCAACAGCAAGGGGTTCTGCGGGTTCCACAATACTGTGGGGGTGGTTTTCCTGCCACAGTCGGAGTGCAGTTACTCCCTCGGAAGGCAAGGTCATCGCTGCTTAATGATTCTAAGAGATCATCTTCAGCACATGCACATCCATAGCGTATGTGGTCACCCATTGGTTTGAACTTGACACTGATGTTGTCCATGTTACGGCCTTCACTGTCACCAGAGCATTTATGGGATATTCTATAGTGGAGCATTTATGGGACAATCTATAGCAACTCCATCAACCAGGCATTATTTGATTGACGTTCTCATGGAAGAATAATGCCTCATCCCTCCTCCCGAATTACAGACACTGGTTGACCACACTTGGGCACACGTGGTGAAACCTTTCAGGATTCCATTTTTTTGTCCACTACCATTAGGTTTGTGTGGATTTTAAAGAGAACTCACCTTATTCAGAAATGTTTACTGCTGTGGTAAATGAATACACATTTGCTTTATGAGAAAACAACACACAAAACGTTGGGAGATCACAAGTCTTTCAGGATACCAATTTTAAAATAACTAAAAGCCATTCTTTGCTGTAATTTTGTAAAAGCAGGAGTTTGCACTATTTCAAAAAACAGACAGTAACAGGAAAACAAGATGAGTTTTATGGATATGGTTCCATATGTCTTGGAAGACAACCAATAAAGGATCTATGAGACTGCTTCCTGGGCATGATTCATCTATGTTAATGCAATTTTCCATAAAAGTGGCATATTAAACACAATTATTTTAAATTTAATAATAAAGAATTACCTCTTTTGGAGTTTGGTTGTCTGCAATTCTCTGCCCTTCAAAGAGAAACCTAAGAGAATTCATAGGAACGCCCTGAGGGAAAAAGAGAAAATTAAAATGGAATAACCCTCACAGGGTTAGTCTTGATTTGTTTCAAGCCATTCAAAACCACAAGCATTACTGGAGAAGTCAATCACTACAAGCTCAGGAACAGAACAAGACTGAAGTAACATAAGCAGCATTTCGAGATTGAAATAGAAGATAGCTCTTATCATGAAGGATTGTCAGTGTCCAGGAAAAAAAAGAACAATGTTGTAAAAGCCAAATCTTCAGGACCCTTTAAGACCAGTCTTGAAGTAATACATTATTAAGCAACAAACCCAGGATGAAGGAGCTCCATGGCCTCATTACATTTCTAACCTAGTTTAGTCTTGTACAACTGTGCCATCTACTGGCCTGTCCGTTCAATTACTGATCTGAGATTTTTTGCCAAGTTAATGAATCTGCATTGCACGGTAGTTCCTAGTATATTTTTAGTCAATAGAATCTATCTGAATCTAAAGTATTTTAATTGACTTTATGAGACCAATCCTTTAGTCCTGTATGTTTCACTCTAGACTAAGTAGGTTTTGAAAGGGAACAAGATATGGCCTAAAATCATATCACTCTGCAACCCCCAACTGGCAACCCACTGAAGCTCAGCAGGGGTGAGCCTGGTCAGTCCCTGGATGGGAGACCTCCTGGGAAAAACTAAGTTTGCTGCTGGAAGAGGTGTTAGTGGGGCCAGTAGGGGGTGCTCACCCTGTGGTCCATATGGGTCCTAATGCCCCCATATAGTGACAGGGACACTATACTGTAAACAGTCATGACCAAAACATGTCATTATGTGGAATTGTTCATTAAAACACTTATCTAGAAGAATAGCTGTGCAATACACTTGTCTCAGCTTTACCAAACTGCAGTGGCACAACATGGACAGGAAAATGAATGCATTGTAGTGGAAGGGTAGAACTTTGAAAAGTGAAAGGAAACTTTAAATATGCATTGATCCATGGACAGGGATGACTAAGAGAAACAGATACAACTGCTTTCTAAAGACGGATCGTGTCCTAGAATGTATGGCACTGGCGGGGGGCCGAATGAGACGACATCTTTTTTGCCTGCTCCGTCACAACATAACGCATGAAATAAAGTTTAAAAAACGACACGCCCCGTAAGATGAAGAGCGGAGTTACCTGTCTCTGGCAGTAGGATTCCTTTAACTTCTTTAAATGCGTCGTCATCTTCACTTTGAAGTGGATTTCGCTGTTGTCCTGCGGAAACACAAACCCATCAGATGTTCACATGCGTGCCCTGTGCAATTATGCAAATGTACATAATGTACAAATGTGCACCTTCCCTTGCTGAGAAAACTATTGCTGCTAATCACTTTGATCCTCTGCATTGAGTACTCCGACTTTCACTTCTGCTCTGAGGGGAAGCGGTTCTGAAGCCTTTTCCATGAAAACGCCCCCACAGGGCTGTGAAAACAACACTTTGGCATGAAAAGGAATAAACGTTTAGAAACGAGAAATTGAAACATTAAAAATGTCATGTCGGATAACTTGACATTCTGGATTTAAGGCACTAAAATGGGGTGGGACAGGTAAAGATAGTGAATTCCACAGAACCCAGAGAATTTATTTCAGGGGCAAATCTTTATTCCTGCATACAGAAGAGACACGAGATAACAAATTCGCCTAATGAGGTACGACTACCATCACATTCGATACAAATAAAGGTGGCAACAAAGACGACAAAGGGAAAAAATACAATTGCTTGACAGTACACAGATTTATGTGAATAAACCAACTAACTCTGTGAATTCCTCTAGGGCTTTCATGCGCATGTCTTTGGAATTAATATATTGTTCAATAAATTCAATAATCTGCTATGAGCTTGCTGGTTCTGAAGGGTCCAGTTCGACAGCACATTCTATGGAGTTTCAAATGCCATATATTAAAGTATTGAAACATTAACCAAAAAATAGAGATAACTGGCTTAAAGACTTAAACAAGAGCTCAAACCAGATGATCTAAAAACCTTTAAAATCGGGGCTGTTTCATTTGATTTCAGAATTACAGGACCTTTAGTAAAACCAGTGTTTTTATTTTATTTAATTCCAGATGAACTGCATTGTTGTTCTCTCCTACACAACTCTGAAGGATGTCTTAAAAACTCTTAACCAACATAACCCAGCTTCTTTAAAGCAGTGCCCCTCTCTATAACGATCTGAAAAGGACTGATAGCTCTAACCCAGACAGCTCACCTGGCCAATGACTTTGAGTTTGATGTATTCTCCATCCTTCTTATCTCCCGAATCCTGACTTGAAGGCTTGGTCTCCTGCAGGGAACAGAAGAAGGCATTACTCCATCTATCCACTATCAGAAAGTTGGTTATTCCTGGACCGGGTGCTCCAGAGCACATCCGGGAACACAGGGAGTAAGACGGGACACCAGTCCATCTCAAGGTTCAGACACACAAACAATTTAGAGACTATTATGGCTGACGCTCAGCAGGTGTGAGCCTGGTCAGAACCTGGATGGGAAAAACTAAGGTTGTTGCTGGAAGAGGTGTTAGTGGGGCCAGCAGAGGGTGCTCACCCTCCGGTTTGTGTGGGTCCTAATTCCCCAGTATGGTGGCTCCGTCCTTTGGATTAGCTGTAAAACCGAGGTCCTGACTCTCTATGGTCATTAAAAATTCCAAAGCGCTTCTCGAAAAGAGTAGAGGTGTAACCCCAGTGTCCTGGCTAAATGTCCCATCTGCCCTTACTCCGCTCCTCTATTAAAACAGGTGTTTCATTGCTAAACGCATGGAAATGTAAAACTGCATTTTAGGCATTTTCTAATACCACAGCCGGCGAAGTGGAGATGAAGAGAGTTATGCATGGTTAGGAATTTCTGAATTATGTAATCATGTTTTAAAAAGCAGTTGTATTTAATGAGAGGCAAATCGAGGCTGAATGTGACAGTAGCACTTCTGTCTTAAGTTGTTAATTGAATTTACGTTCTCAATTAAAGTTCTGACTAGAAGGATCATACATTCGAAAAGATTTAAACTTTAAAATGTACAGATGCATACAGATATCGGTGACTGGGACTTCTAAAATTGAAGTAGAATACTTAGCACATTTTATTTGGCAGAGTTGTGATCAAATTTAAAAAGGTTAAGGAAACTACATTTAGCTTTATAAGTGTAGAAAGGAACTTAGGAAGTTTCTTAGCTTCCAAAAAGCTTGGATATTCAATTTTTTGTCACTTTCAAACACATTTTCATGAAACTGTCCAAATGGTATATGCTAGCTGGCTAAAATCAACTGATTACGAAATCACAAAGATCTGTAGTTCAATGCCTACCTCTCCAAGTTTGATATGATGGTTTGGTATGCACCCTCACAAATAGGTAGCCAGAAAAAATAGGGGGCAACTAAATTGATCATAAACATCTCCAAAATGGTCCTGTTTATTAACTGCCCAAATCCAACTGATAATTAAAGTACAGACTCAGATCTTTAATGTAATACCTACGTTTTGGGTACAATTGTTGTCAGCACCCTTACAAATGTGTATTGAATAAATTTTATCCTAGGGTTGCCCAGAAAGACTGCAAAATCAGCAAAGAAAAACAGTGTGTAGTCTTCAGTAAAAACTTACTCTTAAGTACTCTTAAGTAAATGGACTTCTAATACTAAAGTTCTCATACTATGACAGCTTAATGCATAAATAGCATTAACAACCCATGGCAAAGGGGTGAATACCGATGTAATCAGCATTTTAGAGTATTTTAATTGATTTTGCTTTGAAATTCTGCTGTCGTTTCTCTTTTGACCCATAAAAGTGTTCAAGTTTGAGCCTTCATGTTTTGACTAAACGCATTCCGTTTCAAAAAGGTGCGTGCATCATTTGCAAATCCGTGCAAAGTGGGACATTTTGCGAAATAAACGAATACATTTACGAGACACTTTGAGAATCAAAAAAGATCACAACGGGCACGTTCTTCAGCTACGACTCACTACAGAAGGTAAAAGCTGCCGACCAAATTCAGAAGGAACTTCAGAAACACTGCCTGAGAGTCCTGTTTTTTCAAACTCGTGGAACGGAGAATCATTCGGCCATCGAAGGGGAACTGTGCAGGACTGTGGTTAACAGGACAACATTATTTCTGACAACGAATATTTCACACGTCTGAGCAAGACTGACAATAACCCACCATACAGCAGGAGAAGCACAGCAGGAGGTATCCAGCACACAGCCCCAGGTGTGTGACTGTAACCCCTGGAAACAGGCAGATTCTGATTTTAATGGACAAATGACATTTTGCTTTACAGAGGGAAAACATCAATCCTGTCTGTGTCACTGTGATTAATTAATTCAACTGCCTTCAAGACTTTCGGGAAGAAAAACGCTTGTCAGTTACTCCATCACTTCGAACGGGAAGCTCAAAAAAAGAAACTCTGCTTGCTAAACAGGTCAAACAGCATTCCTGCCCTGTGCCAGACATGATCTGAGGTCAGCCTTGTCAGTAGAACGCACTACATCTTTAAAAGCCAGTCTTTTTTACATTCGAAAAATTACTCCTTTAAAAGTTCAAATGTCTGAATGAGTCTAAATTCAGTCTACTCCTTAAAATCATTCTAAAAAACCTAGTTAAGACACCTGTGCACTCACACCAGATCCACTTCTTCTCCCTGAAGCCAAAAAAACCTACTTGGACGTTTTTCGACTGAGAGAGGAAACCAGGGCACTGGGGAAAAAACCTGGAAGCAAGCACGGGGAAAACATGCAAACTCCACACAGACAGCAGCCCAGGTTAGGAACTGAGCCCAGGGCCCAAGCGCAGCGAAGCTGCAATGCCAATCACTATGCCAGCATGTTGCCCTTCATATCACGCACTCCATAACAAAAAACAGGCAGCAAATGCTAGTTGTGTTCCAGTGAATACTGTAAACAGCACTAGAAAGGACCCAGGAGCAACTAACTCAGCACCTCCAGTCTCATCAAGAAGGCACAACAGCGGCTGTACTTCCTGAGAAGGCTGAAGGAAATATGCCTGTATCCACAGATCCTCACCAACTTCCACAGATGGACGGTGGAGAGCATACTGACCAGCTGCATCACAGTCTGGTACGGCAACTGCACCGCATCCGAAGGCACTACAGCGGGTGGTCAAAGCTGTCCAACACATCATCGGCAGTGCCTTACCATCCATCCAGGAAATCTACAACACCACAAGTCTGAAAAAAGCCACCAAAATTATGTCTGACCCCACTCACCCCAGTCATAACTTGTTTGTCCCCCTACCATCTGGCAGAAGGTTCCGGTCACTCCAGTCGCACACAACTAGACTCCAAAATAGCTTCTTCCCCAGAGCCGTCAAGCTGCTGACTTCCCCACTCCCTCCCATCATACTGTGAACTCTCCTAACTTCGCCCTGTACCCACAAGGACTGTACTGTACTGTACAACACCACTACATACACGACAACTGAATGTAAGCCGAAATTATACTTAAAACTGCACTAGTTGTAATATTTATTAATCACCGTACTATTTTTGCACTGTTCCCCGAATTACTTTTGCACTGTTTTTGCCCTGTTGTATTCTTTCTCTGTTTGCGTTTTTGCACAGTTTTGATTACACTGTTATGTTATTACACTGTTATTGTTATTGTGTTACTGTCTATTGTCTTATCTTCTGTTCTATTTATATACTGCACCTGAGTGACTAATGAGAAACACTTTTCACTATACTATGCACCTGTGTAAGTGTAATGACAAATAAAGTTGAATCGAATTGAACTCAATGCATCTCCAGTATGTTCCCTGAAATATATAACTCAATACACACGTGACTAAAACGTACAGAAGCATTTTAGTACAGAATGTATCACAGACTAAAACCTAAGGTAAAAATATTTTGTTTTTAAATACAATTTTAGAATTCTCCGTTGTTTCTATTCGATATCCACTGAAACCTGGAATGACAATAATAAATTGACACAAAATTAGATGTCTATAGCCACATAGTAAGGCCGATGAGGAGCAAACAGACGCCTCCCATCGGCCCATCCCTCAGTATTCGTCATGTTGGCTGATACAAGTTACAGGCTGTTACAAGTGACAGGCCAGGAGGGAGGGCTGTACCTCAGTGATGTTTCTGGGGTCAGAAAAACGCAGTTCAGTTATATGTGTAGTTGTTGGAATGTTTTACTTTTGAGAATGGTACACACCTTTCAAAATGGTATCTTTACCATCTGCCAGCTACTAAAAAAAAAGTTTACTACTATCATGACACAGCATGCATTGGCCAATGAAACCCACACAAAAACCATACCAACTGGAAACTGTATCTGATCCTTCTCTCCTGCACAGAACAAGTGGCCGGACACAGCAGGAACACTTGAACCTGTGATCTGTCGACTCCGCTAGTTGAAACTACACTGTATAACAGCTCGGCCAACTTGTCCTGAAAGTGTGCCATGACCTAGGTTGGAAGACCTAGTGTGGAAGGAGAGAAACATACGGATTTGTGTGTTTCGGAGGCAGATTAGCAGTGGTATCCCCGCAGAACTACTCAATTACAGACTCCTCCAGAGAAACAGCCGCAAGACTGATTTATTTCTGTTTTGTGCCTTAGTCTGTTTTAACATCTTATCATATGATTGCACTTGCAATGTCTTATTAGCTTACTCAAACTATAAACTCATAATTTCACTTATTTTTGACATTTTGCTAATAACATAAAGTGAACCCCCCCTCCTTAAACATGATAATCATTTCTGACATTTACAGACATATCTGCAAATAGGTCCTTCAAGTTTTCTTTCTCTTTCAACCTGAGATCAAAAGCAGCAATGCATTAAAAGTACACATTTTTGTGTACAAAACAACACATGGTTAGCATTGCTACTTTGTCCTAGACTCAATCCCCAGACCTGGGGTGCTATCTGTGTGGAGTTTGCATGTTCCCCCTGTGTCCCTGTGGATTTCCTCTTGCTCCTTTGATTTCCCCCCACAGTTCAAAGAAATTCTGGTAGGTAAATTGGCTTCTGGGAAAACTGGTGCTGGTGTGAGTGCGTCTGCGAGAGTCCTGCGATCAACTGGCATCCCACCCAGGGTGTATCCCACCTTGTGCTTGCTGCTGGGATAGGCTCTGCCACCAACATTGCTCTGGATGACATGCTCAGAAAACGGATGGACGTAACTTCTTACACACCTTCATCATCAGGGTCAGTGAAACGCCACATTTTCCATAATTTTTTGACAGATTTGCATAACTGCAGTTTTACATCAATAATTTCATTGGTCGTATTAATTTAGCAGGTGTAGATCAGGGTGCAGTCTGA